GTATTTGAGCTCTGTTATATAAGTACTGTACGATGTGTACGAGTCATCTAACTCCAACACATCCGACAGGTTGTTCTTCACTAGATTACATTACCACCGATCTTCCATTTGAGCTGGTTAGTGGAACTCAAGCTTTATTAACACAGCTGTCACTAAAACAGGACTGTAGCTCATGTTACACTGTGCATACAGGAAATGCTAATGACTTAAGTGTTGTAGAGGGGAAAGATAACTGCTGGAGGCAGCTGCTTCAGTTCAACCTTCTTTAGTGTCGCTGGTGAAGGTAGCTCCCGACAGCTCACACACGCCCATACTCATCAGTGTTTGCTAAACTGTTAAACTGCAGGAAAGAACTTTCAGCTCAAGTTTGCTGAGAACAACAAAACAGAGGAGCCTGGTTGCTACACAATTCAGTTTTTTGTCGTCGTATGTAGAATATCTGACAAGTACCGTCCACTTCCAGTTTTCCACAACACTTGTGAGACCATGCAACAGTGTAACGTTTCAAATCAAATGTGGGAATAAAGCGAGTCAGTCAGCAGCATGACTCTTGTGCCGCCTCCTTTCTACCTGCAACATTGATGTTTTATCTCCACAAATAAAACAAGACTAAGGGAGTTCTGTTATATTGTGGAGATGCTAATGCTAACGGATAGCTTGTACCAGCCGAAACACGCTCTGCTTTCTCCTAGACAAGAAACCAACAACAGCCATCCCTGTCATGAGCCTAGATGGGTAATCCCATGAACGCTAATTTTCAGTGTGACGGCTAATGCAGAAAATAGGGGGTTCGAGAGCTATTTTCATAGTCAGCCTGTATGTGAAACTCAGGGTGGCTGACCGTGATTGAAAAATAAGAAAAAAGTTTTGTCTGTGAAACTGCTCTGTGATCAAAAGGGGCATAAACAAACCAGTCGATAAGTTACAAGAATACTTTCATACCAATACTTTAGTATCCTTCTTCAGAAATTACTGATCTCTCCACATAACCCACCATCATCTGTCAGTCTAAACCATTTGAGCCCCTGCAGAGGGTCATTTCTCTGCCTGGCAACAGCCATTCTGAGTGCAGGATTAGCAAAGAGTACATACAGGCACGACACACACATCTGAACTTTCAGCAGGAATGCACGGGCACAAAGTTGCACATAAGCAGACACATGCTTAAAAAGCAGACATGCAAACACTTTGTGACTCATGCATGTGTCATTATGTGGATCCCAGCACACCGGAAACTGGAGAAGCCATCTCCATCTTGAACACTTTAGCTTCGCACAGATTTGCATTATTCACATGCTGACATCCTTTCCTCATTTATCCAAACACACATTATGAAGCACGCTCCTCAGAAATTGATCTGATTGTTTATTATTATCTACCGTCATAGCGTAATACAACTCAGGTGTCAGTGTGGCTCAAAAATAAAAAACCCTTCCTGTTATTGCCATGTAAAACTGCACAGGTCCATTAAACTGGTGATGATGGAACACAAACGCTCACACGGGATTACACCAATCACTTTAACAATGATCTCTCCCACGATGCCGATACTCAACGGATGGAAACGCATCATGTCGCCTCAAAACTACTTTTAGAAGAGTTCTGGAGGGTCGAGGTCATCTGAGGTTGGCTGGGAATTTTCTGCTACTCGGAACGAACGTTGCAGGAGAGACTTTCTTTTCAAAGCATTTGTGCACATTTTCTATAGAACATTCAGGGAATGGTTGAACTCAAATATCATTTAAAGTGAGTGAATTTGAAACAATCCCACCACCATATTTACTTTTGCTCTAAGTCTGATGCTGTAGTATCTCAGCACTCAGACATGCCTAACACCATCTCCTTGATGGTGTATACTAAATCAAAAAAACATTCACCTACACACCCAAACACGCCAAGCAGACATCCTCTCTTAGATTAAACCTGGAGCGTGTGCTGCACTCCTCAACCACTGCGGCAGATTTATATTTACGCACACCAAACACCACTCTCCTTCTCCAAGCAACATTTAATCCTGCTTTGCATCACCAAGAAGCAGACAGCTCCGCTCTGACCCGACCTTTCTCCTCTACTGCTGCGCGTTACACATGTTTCCTACAACAGGAGAGTCAAAGGAGCATCAAATTAGAAGTTTTTGGAGTAGCCGATGCCGCGCTAAAATCTTTTATGTCCTTTTCAGTCATTGTCCTGTCATCGTTTGCCTCTTTCTATTTTAGAGTCTTGACTTTGTGATGTAACAGAGTTCAACATTTTCCTCAATCTGAACGATGTTTCCCATGCCACTGGCAGCCGCGTGATGCTGAAGCGTACTGATTCCATCTTACCACATTAAAAGCTCTCCTCTTTTTGAAGGTTACAGCTGTCCAGGTCAAAACTTTATCTTCATCTATCCACAAGTTGGACGGAAACCGAATGCACACGTGGATCATGATCCTTCTGAAGAATTGTGTCTTGGACAAACAATAGAGGCAGTAGTATTACTGGTTTGCCGGCTGTCTGAATGTGTTGTTTTATTTCATTTTACTCAAGCATATTTAAATTTTCACTGTTTTGGGTGTTAGGTCAAGACGTCCAGCACCTTCTGAATAACAAATAAACCATGTATGTATGTAACACGCTGGTTATATTGCTCCCAGCATTAAGCCTGTCATGGTTTACTAGCTTATTTATTGATGATCCATATTATCAGGTTGTTGTTGTTGTTTTGGTTAAGCGGTGTGCACTGGCCCGGGGCTCTCATCTCTGAAATCTTTTTTAAGAAGTTGTGTTTTGGTTTGTTGCCCTTGCTGCTGTCAGGATTAACAAGCACAAGGACCACAGCAGGTTAAGATGTGATCAGACGCTACACCCCACTACCTGTCGGGTCATACCAAAGACTTTAAAAGCCAGACCCAATGCCTCCCTGCTTGACACTCAGCATTAAGGGGTTGGATTGGGGGGTTAAACCACCAAATAGTTCCCGAGCTCAGCCACTGCCACAGCTCACTGCTCCCCGTGGGGACGGGTCAAATGCAGAGATGTTATTTCACCCGTGTGTGATGACTAATGGGACCTTAACTTGACTTTAATGGATTTTTCAAATTTTGGACACTTTGTGATTATTTATGGAAGGGGTAATTAAAATCTGCAAAGGAGGGCAGAAATACATGCTTATTGTATTCATGAGATTCTTTAGATTTCACCACAAAAAGATGACATTCAACGGGAAACGATGACCGCAGGACATCAAAACTAAAGTGACTGAGGGGACTGGACGTGGAAAGGACAAAGCAGCGAAAGCAAAAACAAGAGGTGAGAAACGAAGAACACAGGTGATCAAAACAGAGGAAATGGAGAAGAAAGCCAGAGGTGACTTGAATTATAATCCCCTGTTGAATTTAACAAGGAACCGTTTCTGCACAGATCCAGAAGCCGAGCCACCTCCTGAGCACGGCCTCACACCTTTAACAAGCTTATGGTATTGGTGCTGGGACTCTGTGTGCATGTGCTGCAAAGACCACCTCTAGCTATCAGAAACTAACAAAAGAAGGATGAGTTTTAAATGAGAAACAACTTTATGAACAAACGGTTTCCCAGAAACCCAAATTTTGAAAACTGCAAAATCTTTTTTTAACCTTTCACATGTTGTTCTAGGAGGCCAGATAAACGGGCCCATTTACACATTTTAACAGCCAATAGTGTTGCAGAACTGAACAATAGGACCTATTAGCAATGTAAATGTGGTTTTAAAAAGAAAAAAAAATGGGGAAGGTTTATTTTTGTAGACTTAAATCTGATGTTGTAATATTACAACCGTGGGTCTCTGGGGGTTAAAGAAATATAAATGATTTACCAATTATAGACATTTGGCTGCATTTACTTCCCAAAAAGAACTTAGCTGGAAAAGCCTGGAGAAAACCAGCAGCCTCACAGATTCATGAACAGGAAAAAATAAGTAACGTAATTAGTGAAGAGAAAAGAGATCAAAGAAGAGGGGTGAAAAGTTGTGGTTAATAACACAGCAAGAGGAAAAGTCACCATGCTATTTACAAAAGATTTTACTGTTTGATAACAACAATCCACATCAGAATAGAAGAGCATGACGTTAGATTCATATTTTACTGTAAAAGACAGAAAGGTTTAAACATGTTAAAGAACTTCAAATTAATCCTTAAATGTTCCTACTGAGACAAAAAAAACCATGAAAATGTTTATTCTTTTAACTTTATTCTCACATTTATTCTGGGTTAATGACGTTTAAAATAATGTAAAATTGTGTAAAAAATATTGCTGTGTGTTTTATTCTAACTGAATTCTTCAGTCATTTTTTATCTCTAGCATGTTGCCAGTTAAGGGGTTAAAATCAGACCCTTTTCACATAATGTGCCACTAAACAATTATACAACAACTGAAGTGGAGTGGTTCGTGTCCTGCAGCTGGTGAACACGTTCTGATTACAGCTTTCTCTAGAAAAGACCCCGTTAGAGCCCAGTCGGACAGGGGAAAGCAGGAAATCTGAGAGGAACATGACAGACTGATCAAATAAATAACACAAATAAAGCAGGGAAGTCCTTAGAGCCAAAACAACCTGGAACTGATTACCCAGAACCCTCAGAGGGACCCTGAACACCCCACTCCCCCATCCACAGTTCTCATGATGTCATACGCCCCTCTCCACCAGCACTGGTCAGGCAGTTACAGATAAGCCTGACGAATGTTTCTCACTTTTACAGTTTGAAGCAAAAATGACTCCGGTCCTGGTACTGCATGCACAGGAATACGTTTTTACTAAAGTGTTTCCACTCACACGTTCTACAAATGACACCAAGTATAACACATTACAATATAAACTCTCTCTGCACAGCTTGATTTGACCCACTACACTTTAATTCTGCTCCACTTTGAATAAAAACATTCATCTTCATTTACTCCACAAACTCTGCAGTGTAAACTTATCGTGGGACTTGATTAAAAGTTGTTCTCCGAGCACGGCAAGAACTCGTAGTAAACAATTTACTTACTGTAACACAAAGAGGCTGAGAAACCGAAGAGAAGCCACAGAGCTCCAGTCCCTCTCAGACTGTGTACACTTACAGGAGTGAGAGAAAGCTTGAGTGCACGAGAGCATGAGAGCCAGAGGGCGAGAGGGAGAGGGAGAAATCTCTACGGCAAACAGGCAGCGGAAGACAAACAAGAGGTAGTGAATAAAGGAAAGAAGGCTGAGGTTCAGAGGGTGCCCCATATTAGGTTAGGAGGCAACAAGTCTGTCACCACATGGCAACACTGCGAGACCTTATCAGAGAATCCTCCAAACACAGAACAGAGATCTGCTGAGCTTCAATCGATCCATTTCCTGGACACACTCCAGCGTGTAAGCGATGTCAGACAAAACTCAAACTGGATCATTGTGTTCTCACACCTGACACATTTCTGTGGTAAATCATCTAAAGTCGGCTCAAGCTTTAGACTCTAAACTGTTAAATGTAATCCAGGGCAATTCTTTAGCCAGTCAGACAACGTATTGATCAGTCTGTGGCATTATTATTTATTAGTGTCTCCTGAAGCTTGATTAGAGACACAGGTGTGCCACCAGAAGAAAAGGATGACGTGCTGCACCAGGGAATAGAAAGGACAGATGTTCCACACCTACATAGACAATAGATCATTCTAAAATGTCTAAAAATGATGCTAACTAAACAAGCATTTAATAGCTACAGAAGATTAGGGCCACGGAAATAAAGAAAATTCTGACTTTTTTTCTCAGGAATATTAAAGTCAGAATTTGGGTGGGGTCAAATTTCTAAGAGTCAGAATTATGAGGGGAAAAGGTCACAAAACTTTCTTTTCTTTGTTTTCTTTTCAGTGCCCTAACCCTCTTCTGTAAATAGCTGGATACTAAGATGTTGTAATGTTAGGTCCCCAAAGTCAGAGACCAAACTCTCTGTCAGGAATCTTGGTGTGACCTTTGACCCAGCTCTCACACTGGATTCTCATGTCAGTTCTCTTGTTTGCTCTTCCTTATTCCATCTCAGGAACATTGCTAAGTTGAGTCCCATTCTGTCCCGCTGTGAACTTGAGACAGTTCTCCACACCTTCATCTCCTCACGCTTAGACTACTGTAACTCTCTTTTCACGTGTCTGAGCAGAACCTCCCTGAACCGTCTACAGGTGGTTCAGAATGCCTGTGCTCAGCTTCTGACCAAGTCCTCCAAACACACCCACATCACCCCGCTTCTCCTCCAGCTTCACTGGCTCCCAGTCAACTTCAGGGTTCATTTCAAGATCCTGGTTCTGGTCTATATGGCCTTACATGGACAAGCACCATCTTACATTGGTGATCTTCTCAGTCCCTACACCCCCAGCAGGTCCCTGAGGTCCAGTGACCAAAGCCTACTGGTTGTGCAGCACCAGGCTAAAGACCAAAGGTGACAGATCATTTGCTGCTGTGGCCCCAGACTCTGGACCTCTCTCCCCCTGAGCCTGAGATCAGTGTACTCAGTGGTCTCCTTTAAGAAGCAGCTGAAGACTCACTTGTTCAGACTGGCTTTGGCGTGACCTTCATCACTACCCTCTCCTTATTTAGCTCTTTCTACCTATTCCGCTTTTCCCGGGATCCACAGATTTCCTTTTTTCCTATTCACTTTCTCTCTTCCTTTCCTTACATTTTTAATCATAATTTTAATTTTTTGTTATTTTAAACATATTTGTAAATCTTTTACATTTTTGGTTTTTGTGAAGCGCATCCCGGTTTCTGTCTAGAGAGGAGCTATAGAAAAAATCTTTTACTTCTTTTTTCTTTTTAAGTTATTCAGCAAGAAAAACACAACATGTCAAATGTTAACCAAATAAATAACAAACATTTTTTTTAATTTCAATAACTAAAAAAAATAATAATAATAAAACAGTATAAGCATTCGTCAGAGAGCTGTCTGAAAGAGTACTATTGTTTGGAATATTAGTCCATGATCAGACTTTTATTTGCTACAAGAATGGATAAAAGCTAGGAGTTTAGCTTCGAACGTACAGAAAAGTTTTTCCCTGTCAGCGTGAAGATTGTTCCGCTATAATGGAATTAACTCAGCAGTAATTATGTTATTAACTCACACACTCAACTACTCCTTTAAATGAATCAAACTAATAACAAGCTGCCACCACTTAACCGTAAGACTCCTCTCTTCTTCTTGGACAGATCTTTGGGTTTCACTAAAAGCAAAGTCTTCTCTAAAGAGGAATGGGTGTGAATCCTGGCACATGCAGCCGCAGAGCCGCGGGCCTAAATGAACGCACGTGTCTTATTGGCTACTCCAGTGGAAAAAATTAAGCTGTTGCATTTGACATCAAAGTGATCACAGAACAAAGCCAACAGATGGCTTGTCCTCATTTTGCATTCCTTTCATCAATACTGAGCTAATGACACTTGTCTGTGTGGGCAATGATAAGAGCTGGATTCATGTTCCTCTCGTACGTTTGTTACATTCATTGTCTTGTTAGGTTTCTCTGATCTGCATTATTCAAATTTAATATTCACCGTAGTTTGTTTTCCTGACTGTGCAAACGTGGCCTTTAGACAACACAACAAAACACAACCCAGCCATCTTTGTCCACATGTTCCGCAGATCATTTATAAGAACACTCTTTTACATAATCGCTGTTTATTTTTGAAATTTTGCAGCCCTCCAGTGGAAATTTGTATAAGTGCTGGCAAATATTCTAGAAAGATGTTTTATTTAGTAAGCTTACAGGCAGACAAATGATGTATTTTATTACTATTCTATATTCATGTAACTAAACACCCTAATGATGTTGAGATTCAGGAAACTGACTGACCACAGGAGGAAATACTTGATCACCACCTTGTTTAAAAGATAAAACTAATTACTGGAATCAGTTCTAATAATGATATTAATTTAATAATAGCTTTAAAACCAAAACATTGTTCTCAAGGCTGTTGATAAATTATCAGCTTAAATGTTCTATTTTCTCCACTAGATGGCACCAAAGGCCAACTAAATTACTACAGTGAGACTTCTGATCCTTTGATCCTAACAGAAGGGATATTAAAGTACTTGTATGAAAGGATTGAAGGATGCTGCTGTGGTGTTTTTACCTGAGGGACCACATTAGCGTGGGGGTAATCTGCTCTTGTCAGATTACCCATGATTTACACTCATTGTTTTGATTCAAATAAGATACCAATCTAAAATATACCAACTAATGAATTCCTCATGCCTTCGTCTCTTTTAACATTTGTTACCTGTTATTGATAATACAAATATTTTACCACAGGTCAGCATTTAAAACAGTTTAAAGTAAAAATCTCAATGCACATATTTATTCTCCCTCAAATACAGAAAAAACCTAGATCAATATAAAATGATAGAAGTTCAAACCACACACCTGATAACGTGTCTGATCATTGATAACAAGTTGTGAACACTGTTCGAACTGAATCGATGCTGAATCAGCAACATTACACCTGATCATCTTCACAGAGATGGTGACTCACATGATTCTGCTCTGGTAACCTCGGGGATCGTCTCAGCTGTTTTTATGTGGCACAGGAGCTGAAAAACTGCAGCTCACAGTCATACTTTAGAGTTCCCTCAACTTCTTCCTCATCTGCTTTCACATAATAACTGAGAAGTTCCATCTTAACTGTCCCCACGTCAGTGTTGGTTCACTGCTTCATGAACTCAGCACCACGTTTGTTCTGTTTTGGTAAAAATGTGCAGCAGACTCTCACCTGGTTGATGTTTCCTTCCCAATAGCCGGAGCCTGGGAGCTGAAGCTGAAGGGAGGGGCTTGTTACAGACATGCCCATCCCAGTGCACACTGGGATATGCAGTTTTAGTAATACATACATGGACTGCAGTACCTAACCAAGTTCCTTCTAAACCTCAGAACAGGTGAGTTTCTACTGTCAGAACTTCAGGGTAATTTTACAGGAACTTCCAAACATGTCCGTGTGTCCACTTGACTGGGCCGGCCGAACAGCCGTTTTCAGGAACTTTCAGAGTACTTGATCAGGGGTACTCGAAACGGCCTGGTGGAGTTGCTGAGCCAAACCTTTGGTTAACTCACGATTATTGGTTGTAACTCAGTGGGAAATGACATCAGCAGACGTCCAAAACAACCGGCAGCAGTAAAATTATAAGAGCTGCTTTTTAAGCAGAATGGAAGCAAAAGAACACAATCACCAAATGCAAATTACCATTACTGAACACCCAAAGCTGGACAACACGGCGGGATTCCCCCCAACCACTTAATTCCCAGGACTATGTTGTCTCACAGAGCACCGTAAAAAACGTAACTTTCTTATGGTCATTGAATGCCACATTTTACATCATCCAGATCTTGATCTTGTGCTATGAGTGGTAGCAGTAGTAGACTTTATTTAACAGATAGACTGGTCCAGTATAAAATAAGATAAAATGCATCAGATATGATCAAATACGCTAAATCCATAAAATACAAAGTAAAATACTTAGAATGGACAGTGTACATAAAAGTGAGACACCTATCGACAACTGGATAAACTGAATTATGATATACTTCAACAGAATCATGTATTCCCCCTTGTCCTGTCTGGCTGTGAAGCAAACAGAATTGATGTCTGAATGCTGGTGTCAAGCCTTACAGATTAACTCTCAGGTGGAGCATCAAAGCGTCTGCTTTTAATGTCACGCCTGATACTTAAAACTTTATTGTTATTGTTTTTGAATGCTTTTTAATTCCGACCAGACACGGAGACAGAGGTGAAAGAGAAAGGGAGAGACAAAAACAAGGGGGGGGTCCACGAAAATAAACAATAATGAACAAGTCTGCTTCTAGACCTGCAGAAAGAGAAAAAACAAATAACCAAAACAAAAAACAAACAAAAAAAAATGGGACACAACAACAATACAAGATCATGCTATCGCTGCGTCAACTTGATGAAGAAATATATAAGGAGCTGCCCCAGAGCACAGGAAACCTAGGGAGACTGCGACCAGAAAAGCCCCCGCCCCCCTCGAGAGGCGCAGAGGACCGCCCCAGGGAGCCACAACCAGCAGCCGGCAGAGTCCCGGGAGATATCAGCGGCAAGCCCACAGGCCCGCCCGCAGCCTCCCACCCCCTAGCTGGCCGAGCCCGGGACCCAGGGGCAACCACTCCCGCCAGGGACCCAGCAGAGCCCAGGGACCCAGACCCCACCAGGCAGCCACCAGGATTGGTCAGGCAGACGCCAAAAATCTTAAAACTCCCTGACCCGGGAGCCACGACCCTGGCAGACCAAGACACTGCACTCCACACCAGGTGTGGCAGGGAGAGGGGAGACGAAGATCTATATCATCAAAAGAAGTCCCAGGAGAAGGGAGGAGTCAAAAGCCCCACCTGACATATACAGTCATACATAAACACAGTCACACACTCCCTCTCTCATGCTCACACATGCACATACAACCAAAGACTTACAAAAATGACACCCACTCATGCTCCCCATACACACCCTATTCACTCTGGTCCCGGTACTGCTGCACATTGGGTACAACCATTACCGGTTCCTAGAGTTTGACCCTTTCTGCTGGGGTGCTGATGAGCAGGCTCCCCCGCCCAATGCTGAGCACAGCAACCCACCACCCCCGACCCCAACCGGACGGCCGGATCTCCCTCCTAGCCTCCAGCCCCAGGAAGCCAAGTGACAACAGAGGTGTGATTAGACCCCTAGTCTCCCTCCGCCTGCTCCAATATAGTGTTAGTGAGTGTTGATGAGGTGTATTCCATGGCTGTGGTGAGCGGGCAGTGCGGGCATCGTCTGGCCTATGCCAGCTGATGCCACCGCACCACCCCACTTGCACCCACAGCCCTCAGTGTCTAAGTGCGGTTTAAAATTGGAAGTGGGCACCGGCACTTGGGATGAGGCTGAGAAATCCCCCTGCCAACTGCCGTTGAATGTGCTCACTCCCAAAGCCCTAAGTGTGTGTTTGCGTGGAATGTCATCGGTGGAAGTGTTTAAGGTGCAAATAAAATTGGGGGGCAGGTTGCCACAGGAATGCAGAAATGGGGTCCATACCCGCACTCCCTGACTTGTCCACCCCCCAAGGTCCTATGTGTATGTTTGTGTGATGATGTGAGGGAGCAGGAGGAGAGAAAAATATGGGGATGGGGAAGAGCCATCTCCCCCACTGGCCCCAATAGGCACCTCTGTTGTCAAAATGCCACCCAGGGCATGGAGACCCCAGCCCATCCTGCCAGGGCCCAAAGCAGCAGCATCACAGAACCTCACGGAGTCCGAGGGCACCAACCCAGCCCCACCCCAGCAGAATATCTACGCCCATCCCTGCATTTGCACAACTTCCAGATTAAATAAGACATAGGACACCCAGGTAAGGTTGGGTCCTCCCCCTCCTGGACTTCCCCCTCCCCTGTGATGGGACAGCAGAGGAGCCAAGGTCTACCTGAGGCCCCTGAACCCGATCCAGGCACTGCTGCATGTTCCTGCCTTCTCCCCGGCAGCATACAAGTCAGGACCCGACCGCAAAAGCCCCGCCCAGATCCCCCCACGGGGCCGGCCACCCCCACACCCCGAGCCCCCACCCAGACCCACCCAGGGGCAATGCAGCTGCTGGGCAGTGACCCATGGCAAACGCCAGGACCTCCAAGGGGCCCCATTCACAACCGCCAGTAGTCCACCCCCCGAGGCAACCCAAGCACCTCCAGAGGTGCTGTTCTGCTAGAACAGAATCATGTTATTAATGTAACTGTTGATGCTTTTTGGCTCTGATCAGTGACATCACTCACTGCTGAAGCAGCTGCAATAGGCTGACGTCTGTGCAAAGTCCTCAAAGGGCTGAATTTGAATGGAGACAGCAACAGCTGAGAGAACTGGGACATTATATCTCACGCTCGATTTCCCCCTCCCAGAATTTACCCTGAAGTTCCGATAACGGAAACACACCTAATGCAAACTTCAGCGAGTCATCTTCACCGCGTGCTGCCATGTGATTGGATGGGTGTGTTATTTTTCTAGCTATCAATGAAACAATAAAGAAACAGTGTGACACATATGTTTACAAGAAATAAAAATGCTACAAAGAATTAGGATGAAACTGGGAGAGGCTAAAAGAACACAGAGCTAAAGCGTTAGTCACAATGAAAGGTTTTAAATTCATCATGACTAAATGTCATCATTATCACAGCAGATCTACGGTGCGGAGATAAGAAATGTTCCATCTATCCATTATCTGAAACATTTCATCCTCACTAGGGTGGAGGGAATCTGGTGCCTATCTCCAACAGTCATCAGGCGAGAGGTGGGGGGCACCCTGGACAGGTCACCATTGATAAGAAATGTTTTTGTAACAGACACTGTCTGTTTTGGTGGCCACAAGGTGGCCTCATCGCTACAGCCTGCTCTCCTGGCTCTAACTGAGCCAGGTGCAGCTCATCTCAATCAGTGCACTCCCTGTTAAAAGGCAGCTCCTTCTGACATTCGGGAGGGAAGCTTAGAAGAGGCCTGGTGTTAGAGCGAGTGGTCCTCTTTTTCCCTCCTAGAAAAACCTGACATTAAAGTCTTGTTTGTTACCTGTGTGGTATTGATATCTTCCTCGTGATATAGAGCTCGTTTTGTGTTTAGTAGGCATCCTCGTTAAAGAGCGATCTAGCTCACCCTTTTGGTGGAGCTTTTTGTGTTCATCCCATTCCTTCCTTTTTCCCGGTTTAGTCCCGGCGTTTTGTATTTATTGATATTATTGTTGTTTACCCAGTATTGGATGACCTTTGTGTTTTGTGTCTTAAGACTTTGTTTCCTGCCTAAAGGAGCAGTGTTTTAGTTAATAAACCTCCTTCAAGAGAGTACTACTTGGTTTGTCCTGTCCTTTACACAACCTTCTTTACGCCCTCTCACACCATCATCTCCTAGGTGAGCTGAGGGCTGTAAAAGTTTTCCATACTATTCAAATAAAAAACCCAAAAAGGGAAAAGGCCTCTACAAACACAGCTCTAGCTCTAATAAATGCTAAGACAACAAGCGCTGATGTAACAGCTACCAAACAGTAACACACCCTCGTGCAGTTTTGACACCTTCCTGTAAATCCCCCAAAACAAACAGATAAAATGCATTTCAGCAAAACCAGCAGCCAGATGTGCTCGTGTGCAGTGAACTGATATAAACGTAGCGGGGCAGCTAACAGTGGCATCTAAGTCAGAGGTCACATTGTTTGAGGTGCTGTCGTTTATAAAAACACTACTCCTCACAGAGGCATTCTCGGTATTTACCATCCCTCCAGATTTCTGTGTACGCAAACATCTGAGTGAACAAGAGTGTATCTCAACACACACACACACACACACACACACACACACACACACACACACACACACACACACACACACACACACACACACACACACACACACACTAATCACTGGCTAAGCCATAACACCAAACTGGGCAAGAAACTGTCCAACTTGACACATTCCTTTGTGGTCGGACAACATGCAGACTGAACGCAAGAGTGATAAACTCAAGGAGAAATGACATGTAATGTTTGAGTTGTGTTTGTTTAGGAATCATCATTTATAAACACTGATATCTAATTAATACACAAAAATGACACTAGGTATTTAGTCGTCACCTTGATGTTTTAGTTCTCCACTTTGTCTCTGATCCAACTAAACAAACACCAGTTTCTATAAACTAAAAACATTTGTCTTATCAGATAACACAGTTGTTTAAAACATGTTTTACTATTGAGTATCTAGTTTTATTCTCCATGAAATAAGTTAGATAAAAGGACAAGTTGAGTCCAGGGTTATAATGTCATGGATCCTAGCAACAAACTCCCTTCACCCCCAGACTCCCCTTCCTACCTTGCAGTCCTTATTCAGCCTGACATATAGACCCCTTATTAGTTTGTAAACAAAGCGGATGCGCGCGCAGCTTGCTAGCAGAAACAAGACCCGGCTTTGTCTGGTTTCTTTGTTGTGGTTGCGTTGATTTGGCTAACGATGTTGTCGGTGTATTATAACAGTTTATCCTCTAGCGATAAAACTTGCTACGTTGCAAAACTGACATTAGTCAACGGGACACATCTTAACGATCCATATGCGTTACAGCCAGGTGAGTGGATCAACGATGAGAAAAAATGGCCCAAACTTCAGTGGCCAGACATCCACGTTTACCTGATTGACACGCCGAGCCTTTATTCCTGGGAGAGCATGAAGTCCTACAAAACCCTGGATGCGTACAGCTATGTAATGCACAACCATGTTCAGGACATACTATTGTAAGATTATAATATTGAAAACTTTGTGGCTATGAAGAATGAGGTGCTGCCGAGTCAAAGACAAGGGAAGAAAACAGAGATGTACAAAGTCTGGGTCATTGTAAACAAGAAAATCAACTGCATTGTGACAGCGAACTGCAACTGCATGGCTGGGTGAGTCATTTACAATAATATAATGTTATAAATTATCATTAGCATTACTTCCATAGCTATATTACCTCTTCTTTAGCCACTGTTGTGATTGTAAACATTTCACAAGTGCTGCAGTTATTCAGTGGTGCATCTGGCATAACTGTCTTGTAACCATTTAAGCAGACATGTCTAACAAATCTTATTTCGAGGATTTAACGGTTATTTTATTTCTTGTCCCAGCTTGGGGTCATGCTGTAGCCATGCTGCTGCACTGATGCTGGAAGTCGAGCTGTGGGTCAGGTATGGAAAGACGGAGCAGGCTTGCACCTCAGGGGGACCACAAAAGAGGGATCAGCTCATCACCCGTGTAACCAGAGATGAAGAAATGCTTCACACAGCCCTCGCTCTTGCTGAACAGTTCTTCACACAAAACATTCTGCCTGAGCTTCTAACACACAGCATGGACCCCAAACAACAAGCACCTAGAGTTTTGTGAGGATTGTAAAAAAAAAAAAAAAAAAAAAAAAAAAAAAAAGAAGCCAAAAAGAAAGCACGTTGAAGCATTTATTCTAACTGTTCTTGATAATCACTCGACATTTTGCACATAGATTATTCGAATTAAAGTGTGCACCTTACCAAATACATTTGTGCTCCTGACTGGGTTATTGATAACTGATGCTGTTTACATACACAAAAAAACTTTTAATGCATTAATTGACTATTAAACATTTTATCAAGTACTTGGTTTCTTTTTTTGGAACTATACATTTGCAAATGTTAGTTAATGCAGCACACACAATAACAATGTCATCTAACAGATCTACCTGTGAAAGTGGAATCACAGTAGAAAGAATCTTGAAAGTTTTTCATCTACCTATTACTCTCTCAATATGTATTCTAACGTTGGACAAGCGCCGTGATGTTTCTACTTCCTGTGCAGGCAGCTGCTTTCTTCCTTTGGTAAAGTGAGGGATCCTCAGAGTAGCACCACGCAAGACAAGCTCATCTCTGATGATAAAGCCACAATCTGCTAGTATCTCATCATGAACCTGTAGAAGGTCATAAAATCCAGACTCAGCTGTGAGTTGTTTATCTGAGACACATCCACCCCAGCCTGCAGCCTGTGTTATGGCTCTTGTAATTTGAATAAGTTTGTGCCCTGGCTGTTAAACTTGTGGGTCTGTTAATAAAGATTT